CACACCCACACCCACACCCCACACCCACACCCCAACAAATGAATCTTCCCAGGCATATCCGACGTTCTGTTGGTGATCCGTGCAGATGGTAGGCCTTCATAGCATACATCAATGTATGTATGAATAGAAGCGTCCATTTCGTCATCGTCTTTTCGAAGATGATGATCATGGTTGTACTAGTCATATATACATCAATGTATCTTTGCCTAACCATTGTCGGCTTCGTCCACTGTACGAGCCAGCAGAATACGGAGGGTATCTCTGGCCGCGAGTGCGCGAAATTTTTGCAGCTGCTGCGCTTCGGCGAGGCTTGTTTAAGAAGGCCATTTTATTTTCTTGTTTAAAAAGGAAACAACAATTGCATTTTCTTTTTTACATTTTCAACATCTATTTCGGATTTCGCAACATTAGGATGTGTTGGAGGGAGAACCTTTTTGAAGATATCGCGTGTTCGTTCAAGGAATAAAAGTGCTTTTGAATATTCTCCCATCTTGTCATACAGCATACCGATGTTACCGTACGACATAGCGAAGTTGGGATGATTCGGAGGGAGAGCTATTTTCATGATTTCAAGTGATCGTTCATACGATAAAAGTGCTTTCGAGTACTCGCCCATGTTATTATACACAGAACCGATGTTGTTGTAAGTGTTAGTCAAACCGGGATGATTCGGAGGAAGAGCTATTTTCTGGATTTCAAGTGATCGTTCGTACGATGAAAGTGCTTTCGAGTATTCGCCCATGTTTTCATGTACCAAACCAATGTTGTTGTAGTCAGAAGCCAAGTCGGGATGATTTGGTGGAAGAGCTCTCTGGTCGATATCAAGTGCCTTTTCGTAATGTGAAAGTGCTTTCGAGTGCTCGCCCATGTTATTATACACCAACCCAATGTTGTTGTAGGAAGAAGCCAAGTTAGGATGATTCGGAGGGAGAGCTATTTTCTTGATTTCAAGTGATCGTTCGTATGATGAAAGTGCTTTCGAGTACTCGCCCATGTTTTTATACACTATACCGATGTTGTTGTAGGAAGAAGCCAAGTCGGGATGATTCGGAGGGAGAGCTATTTTCTTGATTTCAAGCGATCGTTCATACGATGAAAGTGCTTTCGAGTACTCGCCCATGCTATAATACACTGAACCGATGTTGAGGTAGGAACCAGCCAAGTCGGGATGATTCGGAGGGAGAGCTATTTTCCAGATTTCAAGTGCTTGTTCGTGCGATGAAAGTGATTTCGAGTACTCGCCCATGTCGTAATACATCATACCGATGTTGTTGTAGGAAGCAGCCAAGTCGGGATGATTCGGAGGGAGAGCTATTTTACGGATTTCAAGTGATCGTTCGTGCGATGAAAGTGCTTTTGAGTACTCGCCGATGTTTCTATACACATTACCGATGTTGTTGTAGGAAGTAGCCAAGTCGGGATGATTCGGAGGGAGAATTTTCTTGTAGATATCCAGTGATTTTTCGTAATATAAATGTGCTTTTGAATACTCTCCCATGTTATAATACACCCAGCCAAGTTGATGATTGTATTCCGCTCGACCTTGATCAGAAGACGCCTTTGAAAGGAGAATTTGATAGAGTTGTTCGGCTTTTGCAGGCTCACCCAATTTAATAAGTATGTACCCAAGTCGAGACCATCCTGTGCGTTCACCAAGGTTCTTACGTATGTGTGCTGTTAGGGTGTTCAATTCATGATTGTCATTACCCACAATAGTGAGATTAACTTCGTATAGCCGATCACATTGATTATCGTGAATTTGTTCAATGCGATCAATGCGAAAAATCGTATGTGTTGTAAAGAGTATTTCTGCTTCATCACCTTTGAAGTACCCTTCTTTGCTGACATCAGCATAGGGAATTGATGATTTTGAACATACGACGGGGTCGATGATCATTATAAAGAGAATACCAACCATATTGGAATTCTTTGCTGCTGCGTCTCGAGCAAATATAAGGGACACTTGACGCTTCTCACTTGTCGACAGGAAATTGTTGAAGGACATAAGTCCTCCTTTGGTTTTTTTCATTTTGTCAAAGTCTTCCATGGACAAACCTTGTCCACGAAAGACCTGACATTTTTTTGGCACCTTGTCTTGTTGTTCTTGATGTAATTGTGCAATATGATTGTGTAGATCTCGAATAAAAAAGCCCATTTTTAAAATGATGTCGATATCCATGAGGCGAAGGCCTCGATTGAGCATCGAGTATATAAAAAATGGTGCCGTATACCACCATATTGGTGTGTGGTCACGGTATTCTTTATCGATCTTCCTAATTTCACCTTCATCAATATCATTTTGAAGACAACAGTATTCGGCAAGTTCTTTAACAGATTTTGTATCGTCACCTTCGATTTCTAAAAGTGCTTCTTTTAATAATTGTGTATACATAAATAAAGCATCAATGCCATTATAACTGATCGAGATCATAGATCGATCACAATTTTCACCGTCAATTTGCAAGGCCTTACAGATCGGTTTGATTTTTGTGTATACGCCTTTAATCTTTGGTACTTTATTGGCCCATTGCTCATGATGAGATTGATTGCGACAAAAAACATACACAGATTCTAATTGTGGCATGAATTCAATATCTGTTACTATTTTTTGTCCACATGAGCCTGATACAATCATAAAAACCTTTTCATTTGTAATGGCACTGAGAAAATCAATGCATTCTTGAGCATCTGTAAATGTTTCGATGCTTGCTACAACACGTCGCAAACGTCGAAACGATTTCTTGAAATCGTCCTTGGATTCATCCAAATTGGCATCAAGCCATAGAAGCCGGAAATTTTGAAGAACCCGACGCATAGGTCGAGACAACATAACAGCAGTACGATTGTTCGCGTTGGTCATAGTGGTGGTGCTCAGCATCGCTGCTGCACCACTGATAACAGTTGTTATTGGTTTTTGTTTGCTCATTGTAGTTGAACGAATGAATAGTATCAGTGAGACGTAGTCCTCCTATATTTGTAATTGTTGATTTTTTTGTTGGTTAAAATCATTTCTTTTCTGATCTGTGGCTACAGACTTCAAGGACCTCTACTATTCGGATCATTTTTATTTCAAGAGTGTTACTGACAAAATGACGATAACGGATGGATCAAGTCTCTATACATCAAACCATAAATAAAGAAGAATGGCTAAGGAAACAAATAGTCGCTGAGGACGGACGATATGACTAGTTCGAAATGTCGAAAATACCTGTCCTAACTAGTTATCCTGACATGAAAACTCCTGCAGCTACGTCTGAACTAGTCCAGAATGTCCTTGAACTTTGGCATGTCTAGTTCGTTTGTCTATCTAACCAGTCCACATTAGTTCATAGAACAGCAAAAGAGCATTTCTAAAAGTAAAAATTGTGCCTTTCATTGCTGGTACTCGTGTTGAAATGTATGCACACAAACAGTTACTCTGTTTAATATGTTTTAGAATAAGATTGTTTTATACATACAAGATTCTGCAACCAAGACAATCGGTTGCATGTTCTGAGTATTATCAAGCGAAGTTCTCGTAAAACTAATTTGTAAACATAAAAATAACACATGTTTATGTACCGTCATTTTTTTGTGTGTAGCTACTCTTTACTTTTCACTTTAATTTTCTTACTAGTCTAATAATGTTAGAAACTAAACATACTTACGTGCTATGTAATGTTGGAGTACAGCAAATTTTGTTTTGTGTGCTTGCAATCGATTTTATTCTGTATTTATCATTGGCAAAATTACTTGGTTTTTTCCCACAAACGTATATTTACATGAATCAATGAAGCATGACTTTTTCATCGCGCAGACGATTTTGTTTTTCATCCATGTGCTCGTCATCACATGCGTTTCATTTTTCATATATTCTATCTCTTCTTTTTTTTTACCTTACCTTTGCGTTTTGTGTTGTTACGACGATAAAATATACACTGATATTTGCATATGCGTAAATTTGAGGTATGATGAGTCATTAAGTTTTCAACTTTATTCTAATATATATAAATATTTTCTATCGTAAAATTTTTTTTTTGAAGTTGATAATTATAGAAGTAGTGTTAAAAGCTTCAAAATAAATAAATGAAAAATTTTATATTTTTTATTTTATCGTTCGATGTATGAAAAACTCTATTTACTACTCAAACTTCGTTAGATGCATCCGAAGAAAGTATGGCGAATGTGCTTTAAGAAGACTCAGGCATTTTGAGAGGTGGGTGTGAGTGTTTGTATTGCTTATTCCTACGCACCCCGATCCTCAATTACTTGGTTTAAATATCTAAGAATTTCAATCATAATCAAGCAATAATCAACAATCAATAAATAGAAGTAAAAATATTGATATAAATCAACAATATCTTTCAATCAGTATTCAACAAATAATGAATGACATTAATTTCAATGTAAATCATTTTTTAGTGTGTTGATATGGTATGTTATATTTGTTTACAACATAATGATCATACTGTTGTATCTAGTTCATTGGAAACACATGAACTTATACTTAAATATTCAAATTTATTTGATTTTGATCAATTATTAATTTCAATTCAAATTGGATCTATAGAAGAAATTCGTGTTAGTGAAGCCTTAAAACCAGGTAAATATTGAGAAAAAAACAAGAATTTTTTTTTCATTTGTGGGTGTGGGTGGGGGTGCGTGTGGGTGGTTTGTGGGGGTGTGGGGGTGGGGGTGGGGGTGCGGGTGGCTGTGGCTGTGGGTGGGGTGTGGGTGTGTGGGTGCGGGTGGGTGTGTGGGTGTGTGTGGGTGTGGGCGTGGGGTGTCGGTGTAGGTGTATGTATGTAGAAGTGTATCTCTTCTTGCACATACTCACACCCACACCCACACCCTAAGAAGGACTTCCAGATAGTCCCTAAAAGCCCGGCCAGGAACTGCTTTGGTGTCCATGGTAACACGATCGGGCCCCCAGACTCACTGACCTATGACATCGGATGGGTGCATGTGGATGATGTGGATCTTCCCGTGTGTGCATGAGCATTACACTCGCCTTGGCTCCACCAGGGTGGTTTCTGGTGTCGCGCGTGCGTGCGAGAATAGAATAAAATTGTAATGCATTTTTTCATTCAATCGCGATTTATTTGAAAGAGGAAAAAAAAGAACGAAACAAAAAAAATTAATCATTCGAATCGAGTATATTTGATATTAAATTTTTGTACTCGATGATTTTGGAGATCGACAACATAGAGATTGCCATATTGATCGAATGATAAACCGACGGGCCAATTGAGTTGATTCGACTGTGCTCCTTTACCGTTTCCACCAATAATGACACTTCCTTGTTTGGCTCCTTTTGGCCAACGCATGATTCGATGATTCGAAGAATCAGCCACATAGACAGTACCCAATTGATCGACAACGACTCTTGCAGGTTCATTCAATTGTGTAAGACTATTTCCTTGTCCTTGACCACCAGCTACAACAATGCCTTGTTTTGCATCTTCTTTCCATTTCATAACACGATGATTTCCATATTCAGACACATAAACTGAATGATCTCGATCGACAAATACGTAGCGGGGTTCGGAGAGTTGATCGAGACGATTTCCTTGTCCATTGCCACCTGCAACCACTATTCCTTTAGTGTCACCAATTTTATATCGTCTCACTTCAGCTTTTCCCTCGTCAACGACATAGAGAAAACCATTGTCATCCATTGTTAAACCGAAGCAAGCAATATTTGAAATAATTGTTTCTCCACGAGTACCATTTCCACGAGGCCATAGAACTACTCTTCTATTCCCATAATCGGAGATGATGAGACTATCGCTCTCTTTGTCGATAATCATATCTCGTGGCCATTTTAATCGATGAGCTCCATTCCATGATCTATTTCCATCAGCAACTACTTTTCCATTTGTTGCACCAGATTTCCATTCTACAATATGATTATTTCCCCGATCAGCGACATAAATGGTTAGATCGTCACCGACGTACAAAGCCAATGGGTACCAGAGTTGATTGATTCCACTACTTTGTCCATTTCCTCCAACAACAGTGATACCATTCTGTGACCATTTTGCATTAGGAAGAATATCAATGGAACTAGCACGCATTGGTACTAAAATGAAACAAAAGTATGGAGTAGAAATAAAAATGAATTTCATGTTGCTAAGAAATTCATGAGATATTTGTAATTTAATTGATACGATCGGAAGAAATATCTAATTTATTGTAAACATATTTATTGAATGTAATTGTTCTAGTTTTATAATAATTACAATTTCTGTGTTGGTTTTTTTTTGTTCAGAGACAAAACTTTCAAAGAAAAAAAGAGAATGAAATCTATCGCATCGTTTTAGTTTTTATTTTTGTACTATATTAAAACATTCCATTATGAATCTATATGAAAAAATAATTTCAGAAGATTTAAATTATAAATCAATGAAAATGCAGTTTTTATTCTTTTGTTTTATTAATAAAAAAAAATACAATTTATTAATACTTATAAAAGTGACCACAATATAAGTCAAATATTTGAGTAGATAATTTTATTTTCTACTTATAGATGAAAATAAACATAGTCGAAATTATTGATAATAAACAAAAGATAGATATGAGTGTTTGAAATATAAACAACACAACTGAATTTACTATTTTATCTATTAGTCTTTGTTTGGCTCAGTGTGAATTTTCAGTCAAAACAAATAATGAAGAAATCTTTGCTTAATATGTGCTCATATTTTATACAATAGTCGACACTAGAATTCGAAATTCACACTGAATGTCAAACTTGGGAGTATATCCTCTATATTACAATACAATGCAACCATGTCAATAAAATTAAAGTTTTAATTTGAATTAAGTTAAATAGTTAGAATTAGAAGATAGCAATGTAATTCACCTCATGGAGATAAAGCTAGAAGTTATAAATATTAATACAAAATTCTTTTTCCTCAATGATACTTCCTAGATGAAATATTCTCAATTTCTTTTTACAATCATACTGTGTAATACAGACAAAGATAGATCTTTTAAAAAAACAGGAACGAATGTAACTTGATATACAAAGGACGGGGGCGTATAAGGGTCGATTTTGGGCGATCTTCAGTTTCCTTCCATTCATGATTTATCTAATGCAGAATTTTGT